AAAACCACCAAGAAGTACTGGACACTTTTTGCACCTTGTAATCTGAAGGTCGTGGATTCGAGTACTGGTCGGTGGATGCGTACTGCTGAAGAGTCCCAAACTAGGTTGACAAAACAATTAACTGTTCAGTATTCTCTGCCGGTTTTCCCCACAAATCAATATCTGAAGATGAATGAGTTAGTCACTAGGGTGCCTGCAGAGAGTGTCTTACATATTATTATTATTATATCGATCAGTTGAAAGAAAGTTTCTACCTCAATTCATTTTAGTTCATCTGTCTATCTAAAATAATAAACCTGGCCTTATCCTCTACTGATTTATTCATGTCTGTGAACTTTATGTTAATGTTTCTTTTTATATGCAAACTTCTAGTCAGTTAGTTTGTGATTGTCTAATCAATTATCTAAACCAACATTTCAGTATTACCAGTCACTGTAGTATTTGAATGCGCGCGCGCACACACATACACATACACATGTTGACAGTAAACCTGACTGTTATTCCATGTTATGATTCATATGTAACTATAATTGTATACGTTATGAAAATGACAATAAACTTCATAAAGAGAATATTCTTCCCTTAAGTTTTTGTTTTATGTCTCACAGGATAGTGTTAATACCAACAGAATAAATATCTAAGACTAATGACTAATCGCGTAACTTTTGCACTGTTACCTGTTTTCGATATATGGTTCACTACAGTCTGAGGTAGGAATTTACTCAGTTGTTCATGCATTTATTCCCCGTTGATGAATTTAATTGAATAAAGCAAGAACGACAGTGGCGATTTGTGCAGAATAAAAAGATGGTACCATCCTTTGTTTATTTAGTTGACGTCTCATCAGCTGCTGCTTGCAGCTTGAAAGCTTTTCATGATGTCGGTTGACAGAAGATTTCACGATTAGTGAACAGTGGTCAGAAAATTACTCTTATATCGTTTTTATATAGGCAGTTCAAGTTTAAACAAAATAAATGTATGCATACAATGGTAAGAGGAGTCTCTGTCTGTCTGTTTTCGAAATAGAACTTTGCACAAATGTGCGGAATTTCAAGTCGCCACACTCCGTGTAGCACGCGAAGCAAGAGAAGAAAGTACAAGAAAAGCATAATAGAAACAGTGAGCAGAGGGTGAGACAAAGGAGTAATAAAGAAAAACAAAACAGTTTCATTGGAGATCATAAGTCACAAGGAGTGGATGCATCTGCGCTGGCCACTGGGGACGATTTTGAGCCATGTCACCAATTGTTTCCAACCATAGATTTTTACCGTCCCGAGGACCCCAGTCTGGAAGTCTACACCTTCCTACGTGGCTTAGACCAACTGTTGTGGATTTCATTGACTGGTGCCAAGTTTTTGTTTGACCGCCGCTAGCTTTTTTCCAGCCTGACCCTATATCCGCTAACATTGCTCTTCGAGGGAGGCGATGGCTTGGAATACGTAACACATGTCCTAACCATCTCAGTCTTTGTAGCTTCACGACTTCGTCGATTGATTTCCCCTGTTTACCTAGAACTCTACGCCTAACCTCAATGTTGCTCACCTTATTATGCCACTTTACACGGGAAATAGAGCGCAGGCACCTATGATCAAAGACAGCTAGTCTTTTCATGTCTTCCACTCTCAGTGGCCAGGTCTCACAACCATAAAGGAGGACGGAGCGGACTGATGAGCAGTACACCCGCCCTTTGGTCGATAGTCGAACATCTCGTCTACGCCAGAGTCGGCGTAAACTGGAATATGCGAAGCTATCCCTGTGTATTCGTGCTGACATTTCGTCAGAGAACAGCCCGTTGGGGCTGATGGTACTTCCCAAATAAGTGAAGCGGTCAACGTGCTCTACCACTTCACTTCCTATTTTTAAACTAGGCGTCGATGTAGTCCAGTCCTGTAACATCATCTTGCATTTGGCGGGAGCGAATCGCATGCCAAACATTCGTAGATTGCGGCTCAAGGTGTTTAGAAGACTCTGCATTTCGTCAGCGTCTTCGCCTAGAAGGACTATATCGTCAGAGGAGTTACGTAATAAAGACGACCAAGCAAAATTACACTGTATCAAAGGGGTGGTGAGGTTAAAACCAAGGATTACTTAATCAAATGAACGAAAGGATAAAGACATCCAGTTACTAGGACTGGAAAGGAAACACTGACGATAACTGCTTTTTTGAGCACACATGAATCTGGTTTCAAGCGTTTGATAGAAAATGATTTGGCGAACTTGAGGAGAATTGAGCTCCTTTGTCCATTGATAATTTTAAAGGATTTCGCGATTTCCACCTCATGACCTGTACCAAAAAGTTGTCTGGTAATAGCGCTATTATATGAGTTTGTTCCCTTGAGACATAGGCTTTTTCACATATGTTTATTGACTTTTAATTCGAACTTTCTTGTCATACGATGACTTGTCTTATATTAGCTGGTAAATTTAGTCAATAATAATGCGGGTTTGTTAATCGTTGGCTGATTCACTTGAGCCCCAGTCAGGATCTGGGAATTCCCTGGCATAACTGTCTGGAGTTTCCTTTATTTTGAAATTTCTGCATTCTTCAAATCATCAAACTGATGCCCGTAATTATCTGCATGCATTGATATGAAAGGGGTATAAATCATGTCTTTTCACGGCTAATTTGTGTTCTTCTATTCGCATTTGAAGGAGAGGCCCTCTTTGTAGACTGATGTAGTGTTAATTGCAGTGCATACATGCACTTTATTTTGTAAATGGTATAAATTTTATCCTCTTTTTCTGTTGGATGAGTCATTTGGCTTGCACAATATCAAATGAATTGATTGTGCTGGCTAGCTGGCTGGTTGGCTTGTGTGCTATATCCATTTCAAACAGTTTCAATATACTAGCTGTTCGTTATTTCAGAGATAATATTTATATGTGATGGGACGCATTTTCTTGTGTTCATTCATGATGGTTTTTTCTTGGCGGAGGATGAAATCCCTAGAAAGATATCTTTGCTGAACTTCTCGTTATTTCTCCTCAAGCTGGAAACTAATCTAGAGAGAATTTAGACGTCCATATAAAACAAATTAACTGAGCAGAGAATGTCCTTTTCGATAATTTCCTCTTCTGGCTCTACAATTACATACACATATTTTTATATACATAGAATATTCTAGAATAGTAGTCAATAACAATATTACTGTTCTTTAAATAATATTATCGCTTTGTAAGGTAAGATCACGATAGAATTACTACAGTTCATCAAAAATGCCTAAATAATAATGAAGATATAATAGCAAATATATCAACTAAAAAAAAGGGAAATTTTCACAAAAATTGGGGATCATTCAAACCTAGATGACCAAGGTAAGGACAGTATCTGAACTAGCTCCTTTTTGACGCACGAATTAAGCTTCTTTATATGAATCCCAACAGCCAGTTTCAGCAATATTTAGTAATCGAAGTGTTAAGGCGAAATCAGGATTTGTTGGTATAGGGTAAATGACTTTGAAAGTCGCCTCGTCGACATCAGTCTTGTGTTCTGTATCGCCAAGATGGGATAGAGCGGCAATAAGAATAGATTTTGTTTGTCATTTACTTAACCACCATGCAAATTGATGTTTGGAAATCCGATGAGAAACACGCCTAATTGTACGGCCTAGACGACTAACTGGCTCACTTCACATAAGCAGTTAAACTGGTAGATACACATGGAAGAGGCGAAATTAAGCAGCTTATGTTTTACTCCGAAATGCAAAAGGGAAGTGGTTTTGAAGACCGTGTAATTCAACAGCTAGGAATGCTTTTCAACCACATTTCCTAAGGCGTTGTGTTCATATCTTGCTGATGTTGGCCCCGAGAAACTGACTTTGTGAGAATAAGACCTTCCTTTTCAGGATCTGTTGGTACTTTGACTGGTCTGCTTTGATTTTAAATTTTATATTCTTATCAAAAAACGTTTTTGGATAAGCATTTTCACTCAGCAACCCCTTCAATATTATTAAGTTCCTCATCAAAACATTCATCCGAGCAGGTTGCTTTTTCTCGGTGTCGGACCAATCACTTTATCAGATTGCGTTTGTATTTCAAGGGCATGTAGCGGAAAATGAGTATACCTGACTGTCAATTTTTTTGTAGGTTTTCTATAAACACTTCCTCTTCTTATTGTGCCATTCTCTTTTCTCGTCATAAGGACCCTCTAGAAATGAAATACTAGAGACTTTTTCTTTCTTGATTGTAAAATTTATTGCAGTATGATCCTCGTTAAATTCATCCAGGATGTTCTTTGCTTCCTTCTCATTTTTCATAATCAAAAATGTATCATCCATGTATTGACATTCGAATTCCAGTTCATCAATAACATCTTTCAAAGGCCATGTAATTCCATTGTGATCTTACTATAACAAATCGATATTATTTAAAAAAACACAAATATTGCTATTGAGGACTATTCTAGAATATTCCATGTATATAAACATATATATATAATTTCAGATCCAGAAGAGGAAGTTATCGCAAAGGATATTCTTTGCTCAATTATTCTGTGTTTTTCAAGATGTCTGAAAGAAGTAATATGGTTGGGAGCAATCGGAGAAAACCATCGTCCTACGTTCTGTGCCTGTTGGTACTCATTAGCCAGTCAACCTTAAGAGGATTGATTGATATGCGGTCACCTCACTGACTGTGTTGCAAGAGCAAATGTTTCTAGTGAGTGATTTGAGTTTATGATTGACCTCCCATGGGACTTCCCCCCGATGGTTTTGATTTGGCAAGCCTCCTAGACCACTTGTTGATCACACTGTAAACTGACTGATAAAGTTCAGTCAGCAATAAACTAAAGAATAAACAGATGGTACTGAACACCTCCCACCCAGTGGCCAACCAATCGTAAAATTATTTTCCATCCATAATAAAAATGACGTCATTCTAATACCATGTAGTAAAACACCTAAGAAGCTTTTTATACTTACAAAACGTTTTGTGAACAAATGATTGAAAGATCATTTCAGCTGATGATGTTTTCTTTCTCTACTTTTTTTTTTGTAATCTAGACGTTGACAGTGGAGGAAATGTCCACGGTCCAATGGATCAACGACATACTGCACGACTTGGTAATATAAGTCGTAGTGGTCATTTGATCCCAGGATCACGTCATTATCTTGGTGAAAATTGGTCAAGTGAACGCGTGAAACGTCGTCAGTCGGACAGTAATGCTTGGGATTCACAATCAGAAAGTAAACGAAGAGAAATTTTTGTATTTATAAAAACATTTATCCTAGTTTTTTCCCCTCTCATTTAGGGATATTTTTTCGTGAAAGTAACACCATATATAAATAGTACCACTCCATCTTATATGGTGTTGTTTAGCTCGTTCTTTGCACTCCAAAGGGAACTATATAGGGCTTTAACAGTACACGTTCATCCTACTGGGCTTACTAAAGCCACTTTCAGTTGATTCCACGGCTATACTCTTCACATGATGTGGCCTGGTTCAAGTTTTATAAGACAGTACCATCGTTTCTTCTTCTTCTCCTCAAACAAATAACTCCCGTAGAATATATGGCACTATAAAAATACATGAACCAGGTTACCGTATAAGATCAGTAGTAGATTTCAGAAATACGCCGGAATATGAATTATCAAAACACTTAACTTTAATACCATGTCTGATTAGAAATCATTCAAACTGTAGATTAACTAATTCATATGAAATGAAAAGGGAACTAAATGACATTTAACTAGAGAATGATGAAACATATCATGTACTCGTCGCCAAATTGTTATGTACTACTGGTCGAGAATTTAATAGTCCTGACGCAAGGGAGACGGAAATCAGAAGACCACTAGGGTTGCGATGATACTTCTATTTTCCAAACACAAGGAGAATCAATATCAAACAAGAGTGTGAGAGCAAAAATATATATGAATGTCAGAACAAGTGTGTGAACAAATCAATAGACAGTCTTAACATGATTGGCTAATTATAATGGAGTATCGATCCATATATACATAGCAAAATATAGCAGACATGTCAACAAACACACATATTATATGGATATATATCAAAACAATGGTTAGTTTTGATATAACTAGTCTTTATACTAACATACCAATCAATATGGCAGCCTTGGAAGGATTTCAAAAAGAACTAACTTCAGATCCTGAATTCACTCGTAGGATAAAGCTGACCACTGAATAAATTATTTTAGGAATTCATTCATGCCTCACTACTATCTTTAAATTCCAGGGCAAAATATGTAAACAATTAGAAGGTGTAGTGATGGGGTGGATCACCAATATCCCTTATTGAAGCAGACATATTTATGGACAGCTGGGAAAATATTGTTCTTAATACATTTAATCCCACTCCAAAAATATGGTGGAGATATGTGGATGACACTTTCACAGTGTTAAAACAGCACATATCTCTAGCTTCTTGACACACATAAACTCACTAGTACAGGGAATAAAATTCACATTTGAATCAGAAAATGAACAAGGAGAATAAGCTATGAAGTTAGATTGTGTAATAAAACGAATAGAAGAAGGTAAACTACACGCTAGTGTGTACAGAAAACCAACTCATTGTAATAGATACTTAGACTTTAATTCATCTCATCCGTTACCTGTTAAGGCAGGCTTATTTAATATGTTTAACAAACTGAGCAGTAGCACTAAGTAGCACAAGAAAAGACCTAAACGATGAAATAAAACAGATAGAACCAATCAAATCCCTACAAACCAACACTTGAATAGATAGAAGAGGCGTTGGTGTTAAATAACTATCCTTTAAAATTCATTAGGAAGATCGAAAAAGGCCAAAGGAAAAATAAAAATAATTATGCAACTAGTAATAATAACACAAATAAGAGAGAATATAAGTCATCTACAGTTATACCATATATAAGGAAGTGACATCTGGGACCCTACCGTCGTAGGATTCTTAATTAAAGCAGCAATTGTGGTAACATTTAAATCCTGCTACAGACTCATTCGGGTAGGAAAAGTTCTGTAGGTTAAAAGACCCTGTGTGTTGACTGAATTAAACAAAAAATATATTTTTTACATAATAACTTCCAATGACTGTGAGTGGGGTCAACTACATAGGTCAAACTAATAGATCTGGAGTAGTGAGATTATCAGAACATAAGAATTTAGTGGCTAAGGTAAGAATGACTGACCCCGAGAAGATAAGTAACTTAGAAAAAAAAGCTAAGCGATTCCACTGCGTGCATAACAACACACAACCACACATTAGGATGAGTAGGAGATGGTTAAAATTCTGAAAAGTAATATAGGTAGGTGGAGAGAGAGATAAAGGTGGATTCATTTCGTTGGCTTCTCATTAGCTGCATACAGTCTAAAGGAATTATTAATTTTTATGTGTAGAATAATCTTAACTTACTTGAAAATATTACATGATTTCAATTAGTGATGGGCCACTCCAAACTTAATAAACAGTATGCTCAGAAATTTACACTTATATGCTTTATAGCCAGAAAGTTCAAGTCTAGACGAAAAATAAATGTTTGCTTCCAGTGGTAAGGGAGTTATATAATAGCGATGAAAGGTGAGTATATGAGATAGTGAGTAACTAATAAATTCAGTAACAGTGTATTGAGTGCAGCTCATATCAAAAGACCTGGGAATACTGGATAGCTGTTTCGTCCCGGTTTGTGACCCTTCATCAGTACGCACCCGCCGCCAGGGTTCGAACCCAGGACCTTCTGGTTACAAGGTTAGCGAGCTCGTTGACCATTCAGCAGCCTTGTGGTAACCGATCCAATGACTAGCACATGAATTCTAACTTCTGCCAATTCACGACACAGTAGTCCTAAACTAGAAGGAAACAGCTGTCTAGTATTCTCTGCAGGTTTTCCACAAGGTTCTCTAACTGATGTCAGCTCATGATAAAATCCTCCAACCAATCAAACTAAATCTTTACAAAAAACCAATACTTGAAAGTTACACTATATCAATAAGGGAAGTGATTACATAATCAAATGAAGAACAGAGTAAAGGCATCGAGTTACCAAAGCAAAAACACGCCTATAACTGCCTTTTTGTCGAAGAGAATACTCAGATTTTAGGGATTTGATATTGATTGTTCCGTCAAACGTAAGCAGTATTCAACGATTTTGTTTAGTGATAATTTTAAAGACTTTCTCAATGATCTGTATGAATGAGATGTTTGGTAACAGGTACTATTGTTTTTTATCGTTGTTCCCCCATGAAACAGGCTTTACGGTACATGTTCAGAAATTCAATGGTGAGCCTTTCTGCACACCACGTTGTTCTTGCTTTATTCAAAATCATAAATGGGGGATAAGTGTATGAAGTTTTTAAATGCACTAATAATTATAATATTGATTTTATTACAAAAGGTAATATTATTAATTATACAGAATGGAATTTGCATCGTTTTTATACATAGTGCAAAAATTTAGCTCCTTTTATAAATATGTCATCAACCTTATTCAACAGCTGTACGACAACGGCACCTGCCAAGTGATCCACAACGGAAGACTCAGCGAGGCGTTTGGAGTAAACACAGGAGTCAGACAAGGGTGCTTACTATCACCAATGATATTCCTAATTGTAATGGACTGGATTATGCGTCAGACTGTGGGAAACGAGAAGACAGGGATATCCTGGACCGACGTGAAGAACCTAGAAGACCTGGATTTCGCGGATGACTTATGTTTGATGTCACACACAATCGAAGACTTACAAGCGAAAACCGACAAACTGGTCGAAGAAGTAGCAAAGACAGGACTCCAGGTAAACATAGACAAGACGGAGGTTATGAAAATAACCAACCAACAACAGCAACAACATCCGACGTCAATGACCATCAACGGAAGGGATTTGAAAGAGGTTACTTCATTCACTTATCTAAGGAGCATTGTCTCAACTACAGGAGGAACGGACGAGGATGTCAAATCGAGAATCGGGAAGGCGAAAAACACATTCATCAGCCTGAAATCAATCTGGAAATCTTCGTCACTCAGCATCACCAACAAAATTCGGATTTTCAATACAAACGTAAAGTCAGTTCTTCTATACGTATCAGAAACTTGGGGGGTGACAAAGAATATTTCCAAAAGCCTGTGCAGACCTTTATTAACAACTGTCTTCGCTCAATACTGAAGATCAGATGGCCGGAAAGAAACACCAACAAGGAATTATGGGAACAAACAAAGCAAGAACCAATCGCCCAACAAATATGCAGGAGAAAGTGGGGATGGATCGGACACTCGCTGAGAAGACCGCTGGGTGACATCGCGCGCCAAGCCCTCGAGTGGAACTCGAAAGGGAAGCGGCGTGTGGGACGTCCAAGGGTGACATGGAGGAGATCGTGTGAAGAGGAGTTGAAAGAATATGGATTAACTTGGATGCAGGCGAAAAGTATAGCAGAAGACAGAAGAAAATGGAGACGTGCAGTTGAAGCCCTATGTTCCACTAGGAACCCAAGGGAGCAATAATAATAAAAATAATAAATATGTACATAGATAAAATTCAAAATAGTAATAATAATAATATTAATAGTGAAACCACCATTATAAACAGAATGTTGGTGGGATCATAATGAGTGTATAAGTAGGTAATATCATGAATAATACATGTGATAACAATAATCTTTGCTTATACTTTACAGTTCAGATTACTGATTGATCTAAAAAGGTTCATAAGTTCTTTTCTGACATCTGACTCCCTTTTCACACACAAAACCAGTGCCAAATATGAAGGTATGGTAGAATTTTTTTATATTTAGTAGCTGTACAAGCTAAAATTCTTATGAAGCTTTTCTTGGTTTCAACCGCCCCCCCCAAAGAGATACAAGGAAACAGTTGGTAATAAAGACGATGTTCCGTATTAGATGAGATAACGTCTGCCAAGTACTTGCAAGAATTGAAGTGCCAGTTGACAATATATCAGTTATTTGAGTCTAAGTCATAAAAAGACACTACTAACCCTACTGACAGCCTTCATTGTTCTTCATAGTGTAACATGACCTTTTTTCAAAGGTCTAGGCAGGAATAATCGTGAACAATATAGAAGGATGTGTTAAATACATGAATTTTAAATTGTAAGGGGAAGAGGTTCAGTTAATCAAGAAATTTGACGTGTTTGTGTTCTTTGAGCTAGATAGTTCAATTGCGAAGCTTTCATCATCCTACTAGGCAACATCTTCTTTCAGCGCATACACTTCAATTCGATGAAGTGAGCTTTTAGATTTCTTCACGAGTTTATAAGTCATCTCTCCTCTTGGTGACGTGAATGTGATTAGTTGATTTTGTGTGTTTTCACACCCTTTAGAGGCTAATTGTATTGGCATTGGTTTTAATTGTTTCCTTGACTTGAACTTTGCCCCCTTTGAGTGTGAGATTTCTTCCTTATCGGTTGGTAAATTTTGTCTATCTTGATGTGTCTATTAATTGACGATTTACTGGAGTACCAGGCAGGCTTCTAAAAAATTCTATAGCATTCACGGTGTTTCCTCTGTCTAAAATTAAACGTTGGTTTTCCCAGTCGAATTGATGTCCATGGTTGTCTGTATGAAGTTAGTGATATGAGGGAGTGGACGTCATGTCTTTTGACGGCTAGCTTATGTCTGTTTTTAGAAGTGTAGTATCCCACTGAATCGTTAATCAATAGACATATTGAAATAGACAAAATTTACCAGCTAATAAGAAGGAAATCTCAAGTCAGAAAGCAATCAGTTCCAATACAAGTAGCCTATAGGGTATGAAAACACACAGAAACAACCAACCATGACGTCTAAAAACACTGAGAGAGAGAGAGGTGATTCATAAACCCATGGAGAAATCTAAAAGCTCACTTCATCGAACTGAAGTGTATGCGTTGAAAGAAGATGTTGCATGCCGGGAGGCAATGAAAGCTTCGCAAAATTAACTATCCAGCTCAAAGAACACAAGTACATCAAAATCATTCACCTGGGCTACAAATCATCTCCAGCCTATCTAATCCAGAAATTCTCAGCTTCTTTGTGTACTAAGCCGAATGAAAAATGGCATTCTTAGGAATCTACAGAATAAGTGGCGAACAACAGAGATTCTCAGAGAAACTGATACCGAGGTAATAAGAGATATTCGATTGACTCCCTATTACACACTGCTGTAAATATGGCACGAATCATGAGACAGAATCAGTCACTCTACGCAAGTAGTTTTCGCATTTGAAACTAAAATCAACCCATATAACATTTATTTAATTGAATCTTAGATTTTTTTCGTCAACCGACTGGACTGAAGTGTTCGGTCTCATGTTGACATGTCGGTCGGTTTCTTGTGCAGATGCTTCGTAGTTGTCTTAATTAATATGACCCGTTGCACAAGAAATAAGTGGCTGTCGTGCCCTACTGGTCTAGTGGATAACGCTTTGGCGTTTGAAACTATAGCCACTGGTTTTGAGCCTCGGTGAGGGGAACATCAATACTCACTGACTCACTGGGGAATGTAGGTACATCCGCGGGCTGACGAGTCTCAAACAGGACGAAATGCGCGTCATCCTGGGTTGATTCTAATATGGCACTTTCATGGATTCAGTTTAAAGACTATTTAGGTGATACCATTTGTTAACCATAATGGTTTGTTTTATTGTGCACTCTCTCTTTTTTACTTTTTTCACAGTTCACAACCAGAATGTCAGTAATTTTCGAAGTCGTACATATTCTGAGTCAAGACGATTGAATGAATCCTCTGATGATATGTATAGATCATCAAAGAGGACTACAGTGTCTACACGATATCAATATTCAAATCAACAGCCGAATCATCAGTATAAAACCACAGCATCACATAATATATCTAACCACCATTCACCACAACCTGCTGGACATATATCACGTTGGTCATCAATGCAGGCAACTGGTACACAAGGTCTATGGAGAGGTACCAGTGGAGGTAGATATGCTACCACACTGACTAGACAACATATCAAGAAACATCATGATCCAGTTGAAATGGTTGTCAGGCATACAGTAAGTTCAAAAGTAATGATAACATATAATAAAAAGTATTGTTTTTCGCCAATCTAAATTTCAGCATATTTCCTGTCCTAATGAGGAATTCTTTAGTGTATAACTGTAAGTCTTGGGGACTTTAAGAGTTATCTTCTCCCTATTGTGGTACTGCTCAGTACTCCCTGCAGGTTTTCCAGTGGTTCTCTAACTGATGTCGCCTCAAGATCAAACCACCTAACCAATCGAACAAAGAAAATCTCTGCAAAAGCAATACGTGAAAATTGATCTGAGGCTCGCTAGCGAGGCAGTTAACCTGGTGTTCTAGTTGGCAGCCGTGACCAGTAGAGTACAGCAAGCTGAAGGTGAGGTGAAGTGGTCGCGCTATGTCGTGAATTGACAGAAGTTAGAATTCATGTGCTGGCCTTTGGATTGGTGGGTCCCAGTGGTTTCTGAATAGTCTACGAGCTCGTTAGCCTTGTATTCAGAAGGCCGTGGGTTCGAACCCTGGTGACGGGTGCGTAATCAGGAATTCTCCGGAGTATTAATGGAAATCTCTTAGACTTTAAAAGTAATTTTCTTCCATTTTGGGGCATTTTCAAGCAGTGCTTTACTAGTGGAATGAACACTGTCTTTCATCATATACTGTGTAAAGATTTCCAACTTTTGTCAAATAGTGAGATAACTTTTCAGGCATTGGTTTGTAGATTTTCGAGTGATTCCAAGTTAGATCATGAACTGATGAAAAACTGAAAAAAACAGAAAGTACTGGATAAGTGTTTCATCCTTTTTAGGGAATCTTCAGTCCTACTTACGCATGGCCGCAGCAGTGATCCGACCCACGAGCTTTAGTTTACTAGGCAAGCACACTGATTTTTCACCCACTAAGATGAAATCCAACAGTCCTATGATTCCATTTTCTGCCAATTTGGTATATATAGCGCGGCGGATCGGTTAGTATGTATTCGTGCATCTAGTTTGGTGAATCCTAATGGTCACTTCACTTTATTTCATCGTGTTTTCAGTCTCTAATTTGCACTAAATTAATTTTCAAGTGTCGTTTCACCACAGGTTTAGTTGATTCCAAGTCGGATGTGACGAATAGTCTATACCTAGGGCGAATCAGCTGTTCCGTAAGTACTTACCGGTTTCCTGTGGATGTATAACTGAGGTTAGTTCATCATCTAGCTTGAAATAAGAGACTTAGAACGATAGCATTTGCATGATACCAATCACTGTACAAAAGTCACTTGAATCCTGCTGTGACGTAGATTTTCAATTTTCGCTTTCAGTAGCAGTCTGCCAACCGTCTCATAGTTAATCAAAACAGTCCCATAGTCAGCCAGCTTCCCTTTTTCTAGTTTCATATGTTTAGGATAGACAAGAAATGACCAAGTCGGTAAATGGACAATAAAATCTGAGCATAATTGGTGCTGATGTCAAACATTTTGAAGCCTTCGGGTTAGGGTTAGCCTGTCGTCCCAATTTACAGGGTAAGGGTGTTGAAATCACACCTAACCTGCCCTAGTTTCTACGCTTGCCATTGTCTAGTAAATTAGGAGAGGTCTCGTAGTACGTGTACCTGGAATCGAACACTGAACCAATTACTTGGTTAGCAAATATTCTGCCACTAAGCCACTGTTGATATGTTCAAAATAAAAGCAATTAAACATTACTTGTTTAATAGTGACTAGTTGTAGTCGTCGTAGTAGTAGCAGTAGTAGTAACGGAGTACAGGATGCATTTTTTATTCAACTGACAAGTCTTGATCTGAGAGTACCTTTATATTTCCAGTAAGTGATGCTTTGCCTGCTGAGATCTAAGGTACACGGCACATTGTTTTAAACGTCAAAGGGTTATTCATTGAGCTAATAAGTCACAAGAATAGTGTAAGGAGACAAGATGTCAAAAATTTAACCTTTATTGTACATTCGGCTATGAAATTCACGTGTGAAGAAGAATCCAAAAGAAGGATTAATTGCCTTCCTGGATGTCGTCTTTACAATAAAACCAGATGGTAGCATAAAAAGAAATTTGCATAAAAAAAGTACATGGGCAGGACAATATATACATTTTCACAGCATTGTCCTTGTCAAGTAAAAAAGAAATTTAGCAAGGACTCCCCCTCACTTACAGAGTTAGAGCTATAAGCTCAGAAAAAGTAATTGAAGAAGAACTAAGGATTGTATATGAAAATGTTAAGTTTTCGAAACAGTTCGTTTTATTGCACAGAAAGCCTACGAATTTGGAATTATGTCAACTAATGAATCTCCTCAGTTTTCTGTCGTCAACAGTATGTTGTCGTGATTAGATAAAAGAAATAAATATGCGCTAGCAATACTCCTTTGAGTGGATCATCTCTTCAGGGATGAAATACTCACCAGCCAGATTGGAATACCACATGGTTGACTTATTCCCCAACCTCTGTGATGTAGTTTATTAGCTTGCAGTTAGCCTGGGAAAGGGAAAGTTTTCAAGTGAGAATGGCAACCTCACCTAGTAAAATCAAACCCTGTCACTACAATTGCAATGCCTTAAGCTTAAAGCCTTGTGCTTCAGTATACTCAGTCAAGTGCGTTGGCTCCATAGTTCAGGTATGTTAGCCGACCACGCCTTATGTGGTTTGGGGTTCGGTCCTTAACCAACGCACTTCTGAACCTCGTTAAGCCGGTAATCACACTGGTAAAGAAGTAAGGATGGTTGTGAAGTTAGCGACCCCACTCTGGGGAAATAAGCACCACCATAGTTACGGAAACTTCAAAGCCTTCTAGCTTGAAGCCCCTTCTGTTCCACTGGGAACGTAAAGGAACAAAAATAGAGATAAGAATGTTGAAAATATAGGAATAAGATAAATTCAATAGAAGGTATATCTAAGTAGAGAAAAATGATTATGTCACTGAATCTGATGGTGATGTCAAGCTGCAGAATATCTAAAGGGTTCTATGTTCCATGAGTATTCTTTGCGAAAGAGGTTACTTCCTCTGGAAAAGTTGAAAACAGTCGTATTTTGATACTTTCACAAAACAGCTTCCGTTATTTCACAATATCTCATATTGAATCTTTTATTATTATTATCCTATTGGATCTCGAGTGGATCAGAGAGTTTCAACAGAACATCTCTATTTTATTCTGTTTTCTGAAGTCCTCTTCATCTGGCCACACGATTGCCAGTAGTTTCTCATCTCCTCCTCCTCCACCCAAGATAATCTCCTGCACGTCACCTTCAAACCCAAGCCTAACTCTCTTTTCTTTCACATACGGCTTCTACTCATCAGCCTGGCTTGTGACTTCACCCTACAGTCTGCTCAGAGTGTGGCTGGTTCATCTCCATTTACTTCTACTTGTTTGTGAAGCAATAAGTACTTTGTTGGCTGGTTCTCACAGATTCTAATGACCAGTTCAGTACCTAACCAGCGAAGGAAGCTGTTGGCAGAAGTCTGTGATGACTGGTTTGAAAGGTTTCTCATGACGCAGCAGGTTTATGACCTATATAGAATCATTGACTAATTTGACTCTGCTATTGAGAAATCACAACGTTTTTGCTTATTTCAGACGCAGAAGATTTTCTAACCGATTTCATAGTGATGAAGTTGTATGTTGCCTCTTCGAATTTGGTTTTAGCGTCTTCATTCATTCCGCCTATAAGTGAAACGATTCTTCTTAGATACAAACGTCAAAGAAAAGCAACCTCTTCCAAATTTCTACCGCTTATAAAAATAGGTGCCGTTTGTTTTTGTTGTTGTTGTTGTTGCAGTTGGTCACCCCCCCCCACAATCTTCTCTATTTTCACCTGAAATACTCTCTCTCTCTCTACTGCTTCTTCTGCCAACTGGTAGGGTTCCACCGGTGAGTCTTCCAGTTTATATGAAATTAGACATAAATCCAGATCTTGCAGAGTCTTCTTATCGGTCCAAAGTATTCCTAGCTTTTGAGTTTACCGGATCTTGTTTGGTTTACAATAGCTATCAGGGGTATCGTGTGTGGATCTTATCAACTGAATGTACCTCTATTCTCAGTAAGCGATCTTAGCGGATATCGTGCTGCAGTCGTATCACAGTTTAAACATCATTATTCTCGCTGTGGGCACGAAATATATTCAGCTGACTAGTCCCAGCTAGAAATTAAAAACACATACTGTTGAAGAAACCCGAAAAAGGACGAAACACTTACTGGGTTTTCCAACGGTTCTCTAACCAATGTCAGCTCATGATAAAAAGAGAGAGATAACATTTCACCCTAATTTAATCCATCCGATTGATAAGAAAAAAACAGTCAGTTATGTCATCTTAGCCATTATTACGTAATGTACTTTTACATGCCTAATGATATCTTTGTTTTTCATTACAAATTATTAAATAAGAAGTAGTAAGTATAGTTAAATTACTTTCAAAAAAAAACTATTCAACCTATATCTACATGCAATACACACACATGATAGGCTGATATTCTTTGAATTGAGCATTGAACGTTGAATTTTGAACATTGAAAATTTGTTTTAATTGAAGCGGTAAACATATGAATCATTTTATATGCCTGAAGAAATGATAGCATACAAATTTGCATGATGTAAACTCACTCACATGATGTGTTAAATGTAGAGAGAGAGAGACAGAGAGATAAGTTTAAAGGCTTTGAGTTTTTCGAGGAGTAAAACAAAACCAAAAAAACCCAGAATGGTTAAGTATTTTTGAATGCACCTTTTTTCTGTCATCCATGCCCACTGACGCACTCACTCACTCCCTCACATATATGTGTATATAAGTGTATTTATTTCAAATACGTTATTATTATTATTATTATTCACTCTCATCACATGTTATCAAAAAATTCAGTACTTATTACTCAGTCAAACTGTTATATACCTTACTTTAAAAAACATTTATATTCACCGTCTCTATTAAGATTTAATTATTCTTTTGATCTCGAAGACATGGTATTATTTTCAAGTGTGGGAACCATTGAAAAAAACTAGCACTGGAGTGATGAACAGTTGTTTCGTCCCTGTTGTTTAAGACTCTTCA